GAATGACGGAGACGACGAGACGAATGCGAATTGACAGGCCCCTCACACACGCCGGCAGGGTCGGCGGATTTACTTGGGAGTCGCGCTATCGCTATGCGTCGTAGAGATTCTCATGTACAGCATTTTACGCTCTCTGTCGTAACGCCCTGACTAACAAAAGAGTCGCGCTATCGCTCAAGATTTCCTCGCGATTCATGCAGTCCTTAAGCTTCAGCAGCCCGCCTGCTCGACCTGGCCGCCTGGGCCAGCATTCCTGACCCGCCCGTTAGGGTCCGCCCGCTCGATCTGCCCGTCTGGTTCGACCACATGTTTTCTGATCCTAGCCCCCCTCCTGTTAATTTCTCTCGTGCGTCATCCTTCTCCATCTCCCTTCCATCCGTCCTCCCTTCCCCTGTTCTATGCGCTGCACAAAATTCACGTGACAGGCAAGGAAGATACATCCCCAGGATGGTACGATCGAATACGAAGAGGGTGGGTACCGAGGTTGTGGGATATCTCGCGGGGACGTCCTCACAATTATTCAGGGATCTCGCTCTCGCGTGGTATGTCCTGGCAATTTTTGCGTCGCCGTGACCCCTAGATTCAAAAATCGCGCCGATGGGGGGGGTAAAATCCCTCCCTGGCGCGAGCGGGGGGGCAGGTTCGATCCCACCCCTCCCCCCTCTGGCGGCGCCGGCGGCGGTGGCGGCGGTGGCTGCTGGCAGCGCCGACGGTGGCGACGCGGCGACGATGACAAGGACGGAGACGACGACGACGACGACGACGACAAGGTCCCTTCTAATCCTCTGTCCTCGGCTCTGAGTGTCGGAATACTGACGGGCCTGGACCCCGAAAATAATTATTATTCGTGTTGCGTTGCGTGCCGTCGTCGTTATCGTCGTCGTCGTCGTCGTCGTCGCCATGATCGCCGTCGTCGTCGTCGCCGCCGTCGTCGTCGCTTTCGTCGTCGTCGTGCCTCCGTCGTCGTCGCCGTCGTAATCGTCATGGTCGTCGCCGTCGTCGTGCTCGTCGTTGTCGTTGTCGTAATTGTCGTCGACGTCATCGTCGTCGTCATCGTCGTCGTCGCCGACGTCGTCCACGTCGTCGTCGTCGTCGACGAAGGCGCCGTCGCCGTTGCCATCATCGTCGTCCTGGTTCTTGTCGTCGTCGCCGTCGTCGTCGTGGTCGCCGCCGCCGTCGTCATTGTTGTCGTTGTCTTTGTCCTCGTCGTCGTCGTCGTTGTCGTCGTCGTCGCACTCGTCGTCGTCGTCATCGCCGTCGTCGCCGTCGTCGCCGTCGTTGCCGTCGTCGTCGTCGCCGTCGTCGCCGCCGTCGCAGTTGTCGTCGCCGTCGTCTTCGTCGTCGTCGCCGTCGGCGTCATCGTCGTCGTTGTCGTCGTCATGCTCGTCGTCGCTGTCGCCGGCACCCTCGTCGTCGCCGTCGTCGTCGTCGTCGTCTTCGCAGTCGCCGTTGTCGCCGTCGTTGCCGTCGTCGTCGTCAACGTCGTCGTCGGCGTCGTCGCCGTCGCTATCGCCGCCATCGTCTTCGTCGCCGCCGCCGCGGTCGTCGTCGCCGTCGTCGTCGTCGTCGCCGTCGTCGATTTCGTGCTCGTCGTCGTCGTCGTCATCATCGCCGTCGTCGTCGTCGTCGTAGTCGCCGTCATCGTCGTGGCCGCCGCCGTCGTCGTCGTCGTTGCAGTCGTCGTCGTCGTTGCCGTCGTCGTCGTCGCCGCCGCCGACGCCGTCGGCGTCATCGTCGTCGTTGCCGACGTCGTCGTCGTCGTCGTCGTCGCCGTCGTCGTTGTCGTGCCGGTCGTCGTGGTCAGCGTCAACGTCGTCGGCGTCGTCGTCGTCGTCGACGACGTCGACTTCGTCGCCGTCGTCGCCGCCGTCGCCGTCGTCGTGCTCGTCACCATCGTCGTCGCTGTCGTCTTCGTCGTCGTCGCCGTTCGTCGTCGTCGTGCTCGTCGTCGTCGTTACCGTCGTCGTTGTCGTGCTCGTCGTCGTCGCCGTCGTCGACGTCGCTGTCGTCGCCGTCGTCGTCATCGTCGTCGTCGTCGTCGTCGTGTCGTCGTTGTCGTCGCCGTCGTCGGCGTCGTCGTCGTCGCCGTCGTTGCAGTCGTCGTCATCGCCGTCGTCGTCGTCGCCGTCGCCGTCGTCGTCGTCGTCATCGTCGTGGCCGTCGTCGCCGTCGTGGCCGTCGTCGTCATCATCGTCGCCGTCGACGCCGTCGTTGCCGTTGTCGTCTTCGTCGTCGTCGTCGTCGTCGCCGTCGTCGCCGTCGTCGTCGCCGTCGTCGTCATCGTCGTCGTAGTCGTGCTTTTCGCCGTCGTCGTCGTCATCCTTGTCGTCGTCCTCGTTGCCGTCGTCAACGTCGGCGCCCTCGTCGTCGTCGTCGTCGCCGCCGTAGTCATCGCCTTCGTCGTCGTCGCCGACGTTGTCGTCGTCGTCTTGGCCGTCTTCGTCGCCGTCGTCGTCGTCGTCGTCGACATCGTCACTGTCGTCGTCGTCATGCTCGTCGTCGCCGTCGTCGTCTTTGCCATTGTGGTCGCCGTCGTCGTCGTCGCCGTTCCTCGTCGTCGTCGCCGTTGTCGCCGTCGCCGTCGTGGCTGTCGTCGTCTTCGCCGTCTTCGCAATCGTCGTCGTCGTCGGCTTCGTCGTCGTCGTCGTCGTCGTCGTCGCCGCCGTCGTTTTCGTTTGCGTCGTCGCCGCCGCCGTCGTCGTCTCGTCGTCGTGCTCGTCATCGTCGTGGTCGTCGTCGTCGTCGCCCTCGTCGTCGTTGTCGTCGTCGCCGTCGTGGTCGTCGTGGCCGCCGCCGTCGTCGTGCTCGTCGTCGCCGTGCTCGTCGTCGCCGTTGCCGTCGTCGCCGTCGTCGTCGTGGTCGTCGTCATCGCCGCCGCCGCCGCCGCCAGCCGCCGCCAGCGCCCGCGCTGGTCCGGAGAAAGAGGGGGGGGTTCGAGCCCCCCCTCCCGTCGTCCTTGTCGATGCTCCCCGCCGCCGCCGTTAGCCGCCGCCAGCGCTGGCGCCGGCTCGGGAGGGGGACGGGGGCTGCCGCCGGCGCCGGCGCCGGCGCAGGCCTGCGGGGAAGGGGTAGGGGGGAGGGTTCGAACCCCCGCCCCTCCCTGGAGGAGGGGGGGGTTCGACTCCCCCCCTTTGGAGCAGGGGGGGGGAGGGCTGGTTCCGGACTCCCCCCCTCCAAGCGCTCCAGAACGCGCTCTTGCGGAGCTCTAGACTCCATGTTTCTGCTGCATTCTTCAACCAGGTCAAGTCGCGAGGGTTCTGCGGCCCGAGCGCGAAGCAATTGCGAGGCCAGGATCGCAGGGACGACGACGATGACCTCCACCGATGTCGTGCTGACGAAGTCCTTTCAGAAGCTACCTCCTAAGACAGTCCACTGGCTTCCCGAACGCCTCCGAGAGAAACCATCCCGGCGCCCCCGCCAAGAGGAGAAGGGATGGGGCGGACGACGCTGACGATCCTGAGATCCAGCATCACGAAAAATTGTAACATCGGAAGACAGCGCGACGGGAACTGTAGACTTCACGTTTGTGCTGCATTTATCCAACCGGGTCGAGCCGCGAGGGTCCTTGGGCCCGAATTACCCAGACCCCCGACTTCGTGATTTGTTTACAACGTCGACCCCAGGAGGTCTCAACCCATTCTCCAGGACTGGCTTCTCGTCCTGGGTCACTTCTGACGGCCCCAGGGCCTGGCGAGGGCCCCCAGGGGCCGAAGATGATGTAAACTTCCCGTCGCGCTTTTTCTCAAATCATGTAGGTTTGGGCACTGGGGCGAAAAGGCTGGGCGTGACAAAAAATCGCGACGCCAGAATCTCAGGGACGACGACAACGACGACGACCTCCCCCTCGATCCGCGAGGTCTGGACCCCTTCCCCAAGGGTGGTCTTTCGTCCCAGGTCCATTGTTATTGCTTGGGGTCCAATGACGGATCCCAGAAACCGAAATCGAGAACGAGCGCCCCGACTGAAAACAACTACCCGGGGACGTACCCAACACTTTGTACACATGAGGCGACTGTACATCGGACCGCTCAATACAAAAGCAAACACTGATGGATCCGCCGTGCTCATGAACGCTTCGCCGAAGAACGTTGGGCCAGAATCAAATGTTTCACATTCGCGGCATCACTCTTAAGAGTCAGATCGTTGGCAGGAAGGCGACCACGAGGTGGCGTGAAAACATATTGACGAAGGCGAACTGGAGACATGCTTCGTGGGAGGAACAGCGCATCGCGCTAGGTTCTCATTGCAGAACAGCGCCATGCGCGCTAGGACGGAACAGCGCCCTGCGCTAAGTGCTGCAAGTGCCCGAGTGCACTGCGGACAAGGCAACTGAAGAGTCGATGCGGCATGGGCACATTACAGCGCCATGCGCTCCGTGGCGCCCCATCCCGCTGCGATCTGCGATTAAACAGCGCAGCGAGCTCTCATGGTGGTCCCTGTGTACACCCCTCCGGTGAACCTCGAGCCCACGAAAGTGGCGACAGTTTCGCAGATCGCAGCCCCCCAGGGACGGCGAGGTCTCATGGTGATCCCCGTGGCTCACCCCTCCGGTGGACCTCCCAGGAGCCTACGAAAGTGGCGACAGTTTCGCAGATCGCATTGGGGGACGGCGATCCCCGTATGGTGATCCCCGTGGGACACCCTCCACTGGACCTCCCAGGGGCCCACGAAAGTAGCCACAGTTTCGCAGGTCGCAGCCCCGGAAACGAGGAGGAGGAGGAGGAGGAGGAGGAGAAAGGATGGAGTGAGTGAGTGAGTGAGTGAGTGAGTGAGTGAGTGAGGGAGGGAGGGAGGGAGGGAGTGAGTGAGTGAGTGAGTGAGTGAGTGATGGGAAAGAAGGAACCCAACCAAGGGAGGATTGGAAAACAAAGGCAGGAGATTTGGGACGGTACTTGGAGCGGAGGACTACGACGACGACGTCGACGACGACGACGACGACGACGGCGACGGCGGCGACGACGACGACGACGATGACGACGTCGACGACGACGGGACCCGAGGCCGGGGGCGACCCGTCCGCGCCGGACGCGCCCATCGCTGTCGCCGGCTCCCAGACCGCCACCGGCCTCGCCTTGGCGTGGGGCGCGCCCGCGGACAGCGGCGGCCTCAGCCTGCTGGGGCGCCCCGCCGACGCCGGGCCGCCGCTGAACCTCGTCGTCGTCGTCGCCTCTTCAGCCGACCCTCCAGACCCCCTCGAACTTGGAACTTCGAGGATCGAGGCTTGTTGGGCCTCTGGGTGGCTGGGTTGCTCGTCGCCACGCTGGATTCGTATGCAAATTTTGGTTACAGCGCACCCTCGGAGAGCTCTGGGGGTTTACTTCCAACCACCAGACCCAGACCCTGAAACGCCGGTCCAGGGGAGTGGGTCGAGCTCTTTGGGGGTCAACGTCGTGAAACACTGCCGACTTCGGGAGCCTGGCTCCCTCCTCTGTTCCTCCTCCCCCTCCTCCTCCTCCTTCTCCTCCTCCTCCTCCTCCTCCTCCTCCTCCTCCTCCTAGGCTCAGTCGTCGACTATGCCGCTGGATGCTACTGTTAGAACGCAAAATCCTGTGAACGGGTGCTCCTCGAGCCCGTTGTTGAATAATGAGCGCGGCGTTTCAGCCTACAACCTTGCTGGCGTCAGATTGCGAAGTCCTGGTGGTGGGTGCTCCTCGAGCCCGCCTTCCCAGGCTCCACGAGTATGTTGCGAGGAACTGTCTCATCTGTCCAGTGGCGTCGGAACGCAAAGTCCTGGGCGTGGGTGCTCCTCGAGCCCATTGCTCCAGGCTCGAGTAAATTGCGAGGTCAAGGTCACCAGCTACATAGTGTCGATGGCGGTGAGACGCTCTCGTGGTGGCTGCCTTCTGTCGACGGCTCCTAATTCCCCGACCTCTACGCGCCCGCCCTGCTCGCTTTCCCCTCGCTCACCACAGTTTCTTACTGCTACTCCACCGATGTCGATTTCCGTGGGTGCTTCGCGAACGGCGGCTCCCTCATCGTGTGTTGCCACGGGACGCCCGTCCTCGGCGACCTCGAGAGTTCAGAGGTTGTCTCCTACCACTCCTCGATCGGCGTCGAGCACACCTTCTCGCCCTGAGGCCTTTGCTGGAAAAGCCCAGTCCATGTTGCCTGTCTTTCGTACTTCAGCTGCTCGACGCACCTCTCCCGCCCTGTCGCTTGCGACTTATTTACCTGTCGCCCTCCCAGTGCCCATTGCTTCGCGCACCGACCCGCCTGCGCTTCCTGGCTTCCGTCCTCGTGTTGTCTCTCCCCCGTCCTTTCCTCGTTCGAACTCTGCTGCTGCGTCTGCTTGCGCCCATCCTGCTCCTCCTCTGAATGATAAAAATTTCCCGCCGCCGCTGAATGAAACAATATCTCCCGACGTGCACGCCGTGCACGACACTGTGCAGTTCGGCCAGCACGAGGCTGGTGCGCCCTGCCGCCGTCCGCTGCACCAGCCCGATGTGGCGGGCGGGCCTTAGCGGGGTGGGATTGACTCGCCTCCTACGCTGCGCTCCTCCTCCTCCTCCTCTTCCTAGGCTCCTTCTCCTCCTCCTCCTTCTCCTCCTCCTCCTCCTCTTCCTCCTCCTCCTCCTCCTCCCTGCGCCTCCTCCACCCTCCCGCTGTCTTCCCCCTCTTCGTTCTTATCGCGCACGAGGGGTGGGGCAAAGGGGATTTGGATGGCGTCGTTTGGGGGATTTGATGGATATCTCAGGAAGTCTAACCTCCTGAGAGGCCTTCCGAGAGGCCTCCGCCCCCCTCCGAGAGCTCTGAAGAGACGGACCCCTGGCCCGGGCCCTGCCTCGAGCTCCTTCTTGTGATTCTGTTGCTGCTCCAGGAGGCTTGCGTTTATGGCTGGTGTCTCCAATGTTCCAGGAGGCTGCGTTTGTCTTACACTCTGTCTGGCAAAATTACTTGCACGGAGGGGTGGGGACCGGCGCTAAGCCGAGAAAGAAGTCTGGATCTCATTCAGGTCAGGACTCACTTGCGCGCCTTTTCGGCCCAGCGTTTGTTTGAATAGGCGGTGGAAGGAGGGCTGGATTGCCGTGCAAGTGAACCTGCCTGAGTTTACAGAACATGCCTCTAAGTTTTTGGCCGTTATCTTGCCACCAGGGGTCTCCGGAAGCTCCTGGGAACCTCTGGAGACCTCCTAGGAGCTCCCGATCTCCGCAGACCTCCATAGAGAACGTCAGCCTGCGTTTCCCCCCATTTCGGCTTGCGGGGGCTCCTTTCTGGGCCCCTGGACCGTTAGAACACGGAGGAGAAGGAGCCTAGGAAGAGGAGGAGGAGGAGGAGGAGGAGGAGGAGGAGGAGGAGGAGGAGGAGGAGGAGGAGGAGGAGGAGGCTCCGTAGCCACTTTGGCTCAAGGAAGCCGTTGCCAGACCTGGGGTCGCGGATCCCCCGCCCGCCCCTCGACACAGGGGTGGGGGGTCTTGCAGCGGGCGACAGGCGAAGCGCGGCACCCGGCGATGGGCGCCGAGGGGCCCGCGACGCTCTTCGCCATCGATGTGTGCCATGCCACGAGGGGCTGCCCGACTGCGAGGCGGCCCAAACATGCATCGGCAGCATCGGCAGCAGAACCCACCCTTCTAAGTTCAGCCACTTCTTTCTGGACCCAGCAGATCACAGACATCGGGCCATGTGCATCCAGGCGAGCGGCTCGCTGCAGGCGGACAGCGGCGCTGGAAGCAGCCTTCAGAAATCACTGCAACGGCGGCGCCATCAAACCTGACGTCGCCGATGACACCACCTACGGCCACATTGCCAGCTACATCGTCAGAGAGGTCCCCACTGACTTGCCAGCGGCCGTGGAAGACAGCCGCGGCATGCCAGATCAGCAGGAGACTGGGCCGGGACCCACCCCAACACCAACGACACTTACGGCGACGATGGGGTTTTCTACTTGCCTCCCTACATCCCAGCGTGCGCCCACTACTCCTGCCCCCCACGACCCCTTACCCCACGGCCCCCACGACGGACCCACGCCCCCCGAGCCACGCCCCGAGCGGCCGCATGCTCTGAGAGGAGCCCCCCGTAGGGGGGGGCATGCCTGGGGAAGCGGCGACAGGCCATAGGCGCCGCTGGCCAGGCGCCGCCTGCCCTGCGGCGGGCTCGGCGGGCCGATTGGCTGCCTGCCCCGAGGGGGAGCCCGCGGGGGGCACGCCTGGGGGGGAAGCGGCCATAGAAGCAGCCGAAGCCCCCACCCGGGATCCCCCCACCCGACCCTCCACCACGACGGTTCCCACGACCCATCACCACGACGGCCTCCCACGACGTCCCCCGCATACGCCTGACCCCGCCCTCCACGATGACCTCCGCGACGACCCCCGCGACGGCCCACACGACGTCCCCCGCGACGGCCCCCGCGCCCCCCCACCCGACGACCACCGCGACGGCCGTCCCCCATTGTCCGCGCGCCCTGAGAGGGACCCCGCGTGGGGCGCACCAGGGGGAGCGGCCATAGAGGCGGCCAGCCAGCCCGTCAGCCTGCGCTGCTGGCCACGCGGCGGGATTCCGAGTGGCCGCCGAGAAAGAGCATGCAGGGGGCACGCCCAGGGAAACGGTCATAATAGGGACAGCCGAACGCCCCCAATACGCCAAGCCCCCGAGATGGACCCCGCGACGGCCCTCCACGGACGGCGGACCCCACGACGACTAACCTTCCTCGTCTTCCTTCCCCGCCGACCCCCCTGCGAAAGGGGAGCAGATGATCCCTGCCCCACGACCCCTCCCTGCACAGGCCCTGCACCCGCGACACTTTTGTCTACGAGCCTCACGGCCCCCTGCCCTACCCGACGGCCTCCGCGACGGCCGCGCCCCGATTGGCCGCGTGCCCTGCGAGGGAGCCCATGGGGGGCACGCTTGGGGAAGCGGCCATAGGGGCCGCTGGCAAGCCCCAGGCTGGCGCAGACTGCGGCTCCAAATCCCGAGTGGCCGCGTGCCCTGATGGAGGGCCCGCGGAAGGCATGCCAGGGGAAGCGGCCACAGGGACTGCCAACGACGCTCATTAGACCCCCCCACCCGACCCACATAGCGGCCCCGCGACGTCTCACTCAACCCCAACGCCCGCGCGACCCACCACGACGACAAACTTCTACGACGGCTACTGCGTGACAGCCCCCCGCGACCGCCCCGATGACGGCCCCCGCGACGAACTCTGCAGAGGCCTCCACGCGGGCAGCTTCCCTCGCGGTCTGCTGGGCGGACGACGGGACAACCGAACCGACAATTGAACCGACGAGCCGACAACCGAACCGACGCCCCCTACTACAGCCTCTGGGCGACGACTTCTGTGACGGCGACCCCCGCGACAAACCTCCGCGACGATCCCCCGCGACGGCGACGGCCAAGGCGGGCACGAAGACGGCCGCGGCTACCACAACAGCCCCCGCGCCTGCCCCCGCGACGGCCTCGCGGACACCCCTCACGAGCACGATTGCGAAGACAGCGCTGTCTCGCCAGGGGAGACGGGCGCCACTGCGGACGACTCCGACACGTCGAGGACAGTCCTTGCCGCCCGGCGACAGGGGCGGCGGCAACTCCACTGGAGATGACCGTCTCCCCCCGCGCCGCTACAGGCTATGCCGTGGCCCCCCGTGCCCGCTGCACCGCCCCCCCCCCCGGCCCCGGCGAAGGCCGCCGCGATCCCCTTGCCCTGACCGACGGCCCCCCGCCCCCCACCCGACGGCCCTCGCGACGAACTAGAACGAGGTGGTAAGCAGCCGCTTTTGAAATTCACTGGCCGGAGGCATGGGCGCCGTGAGCCACATCGCCCAACCATTCCTCTCCCTTCGGCCGCCCACTTGCCCCTTACCTGGCCCGCCCACTACTCGCCCCACTAACCTACTCTTACTCACGCTTGACTCTTGTGGCGGCGAGGACGGTTTGTGCATAGTGCGGTGGACAGGAGGGATCTCGCCGACGGCCGCCCTGGCAGGGGCTAGGTTGGCCGCGGCAAACCGCCAAGCGATCACGCGAGACAGCGACACAGTGCTGGCGTGAAGCCCGAAAACAGCCACGAACAAAACCGACAAGGGACGGAGGTTGGGGGTGAACCGCCAAACTCCAGGGCCTTTGGAGGGCCCAGGCCGCGCTCGGCCGCCAGCCTGGAGCCTGTCCCACCGCCCACCTGGCACTTGGCCGCTGAAGGCTGTTCTAACGAACCGCAAGGCCCCACCACGCGCCAGCCAGCTTCACCGCGGGCCACTTGCACACGCCATCTCTTGACCAAACCACCGCCGCAGAAGGCTCACATCTCACCCGTTTTCGGTGAACGCCCCGGCATCCCAGGTCAACGAACTGGGAACCTTACGGCTTGTTGCAGGCGATGGATTCCATCGTTGACCTGGGGCGCGCTTGTGGGGGTGGTTCTATGAGCAGGGGGAGAGGCCCTTGAGCCTTCCACCTTGGCGAGATTGGAAGCTGGCTCCCCTCTTTTCCCCCTCCTGGTATTTATGAGGTTTCCTCCGTCTCTTCTTCCTCCTCCTTTTTTTCTGTCTGCGAGTCCCACTTTAACTTGTGCCCTCGTCGGCTGGCGACTCTTGGAACGGTGCTCCAGGAGTCGCCTTGCTTTCATTCAATCACCCCCCAGAACCGACCAGCCCTGGGGGGAGGGGAGCGATCGACGATTTCGCATGCCATCAGGAAGCAGGAACCAGGCGGAGGACGAGGAGGACGAGGAGATGGAGTACAGTCGAGCAGAGACGGGGAGGAGGAGATGGAGGACAATCGAGCGAGTAGGAGGTGGACGAGGAGGAGAAGGACGAGGATGAGGAGGATGAGAAGGTGGACGAGGAGGCCGGGGAGGAACAGGAGGAGGAGGAGGAGGAGGAGGAGGAGGAAGAGGAAATGGATTGAGGGTCGAGGGTGGATGCTTTCGGGCGTTGAGCTGTCCTTTTTCGTTGTGTCTTTGGGGACCTCTGGAGTTCTCTCGAGGTGTCCAGAGGTGTTGGGGAGAAGGAGGGGGGAAGGAGGAGGATGAAAAGGACGAGGAGGGGAAGGCGGAAAAGGATGAAAATGAGATAGGGGGAGGAGGAGGAGGGGTGTCAGGAGGAGCAGGAGCAGGAGCAGGCGCAGGAGCAGGGGGAGGAGGAGGAG